TAGTGGCCCTAGTCTGCCCACTAGAGTGTGCACATGGTGTCCGACATTAGTTTGTGTCGGCAGATGAGGTAATGGTCATGGTTCACGTTCACGTGATGATATCAGATTCATGTTCATGTTATTACCGGTTTCATGTTCAAGTTATGTATATACCAGGATCATGATGTTGTTATTATTTTCAATGTTTACATTAGTATGAGTTTCCACGGAGCACAGTGTTATAGTGCTCACGACCCACTTTTATCATTTTTTTTTTCAGGTCAGAATGTCGGGCTGAGGGCGTGAGATGACGGATGCTTCAGGAATTTTATGTTATGATTGCATATATTTTGACGATATTACGTTTCTGCTGACTTTGATATTGACGAATTTATCTTTTGATCAGATTTTCGGAAAAAAATTATGCTTTCAGTAAACCGTATGATTTTGTTAAAAATTAAAATACGGTTTTCCAAAATAAGTCACGTCTTACGGTAGCACCCCGAATCAGTTTTCGCAAAGTAAAAGATTTTATTTTTTAAATAACTTTGCGAAATTTTCGCACCTTGATTTCACGATAAGGCGGGGCGTTACAATTAGTCAGTAATTTTCAGAAAAACCTGAACCGTCACGCTCACGCCTCGCCGACTACAGGTAAGTGTTGATTTATGTTTTCAGTTATAAACATATTACTTTGCCTATGCTCAGAAATTATGGATCAGGACTTAGTTAAGATGCTCGAATCAGGATCAGACTTTAGAGTTCAGTATATTCAGAGATGACTCTAGAATTTAGTATCTTCCGATATGACTCTAGAGTTCCTCAGGATTCATGTCAGTATTTATTGGCCATTTTTGGCAACTCGTCAAGAGATTTGTGTGCGTTAGTAATCAGTCAGAATATTATCACGTGTTCAATAATGTTGAACTTTCTCAATGTTCAGATGCCGCCTCGTAGGGAACCCGATCACTCGGCTCCTACTCAGGCCACAGTAGTCGCACAGTTCCGCGACTATCATGCTGAAAAATTCTCAGGGCAGGGAGATTCCCGCATCGTAGACGAATGGATTCAGGGCCTTGAGTTTATCTTCGAGGTCATGGATTG